AATTAGCCAGCCTCCCCTAGAATTGTGTATATAAGGGTGCAAGTTCAGGCTTATGTTTTAATCAGACTAAAAGTGTATCATATTCCCTCAAATAAGCCTGTCTTCCGTTTTCAAATTGAAAATTGGTTTGTATTCAAAACCTTTCTTGTCGAAGACAAGTTAAAACTGCTGTTCAAGTGTCTTGTATCGTATAACCACAAAGCTAATATACAGTTGAATTCACTTTTTCTCCCTATTTAGACATGCCTGCTCACTCTTTGGAAAGGCCCAGATTGGGTTACTCAAGAAATCCCATTTTTGTAACCAAGCCAGTACTATCATTATCAAAATTACAATTGATCTAGAATATAGTGTCAAGAAAGATGACACTGGTATATAGAAGCACATGCTGATTTCTCTCATTTTGCATTAGTTGTAATGCATTATATAACTGTAGGAACTGCCTACTGCTTTAGTTTACCCTTTAATAATTAGATGATTTCTGTAGAGTGGCAATCAGCAGATTGCGTACACATTGTGTTCTGTGATCAGCTTTGGACACATTCTCAAGAGTACTTCAAACAGTTCATGGAAAATATGTATGATATTTTAATTCTGTTTTTCCACAAAGTTCTTAAAGTACCCTTACATATATGGACATAAATTTATACATATTTATAATTTGTGGAGAAGAAGGTATTGTATTATTAAACACCTAAGTTGGCATTATTATATGGTAGATTCTCCAGTATCTGATCCTAAACATGTTACTTAACATCTTTGATCCTCATTATCCTTTTGCTTTGTGGAATGAAGTTTTTCCAAAGAAATGGTTTTCCTCTCAGTTCAGTCTTCCTAGAAGTCACTGAGTACTAAGAATCTGAGCCCAGTAAGGTGAGATTGGCAGAACAGTGGCAGTTCCAGCTCCTCCTTTGTACTTCAACTGAGTAATTCTGTTTTAATTTGTTTTATTTTTTAATAATCTCAAGTAAGTCTTGCAATTCCTGATGCCTTTTCACCTATTTACCAACAGTAGGGGTCATTGTGTTCTATTTGTGGCTCTGTAGTGAGTTACAGCTTATACAAACCACACAGACCCTGGAAAAATCAATGGTTCCTTTGAATTCCACAGCAAGCATGAAATGTAATGTATTAATCATGTATTTATGCCTGTTTTCTACATGTGATGCAGTTAAGCCTATTCTTAATTTCCTCTCTTTGCCAACTTCAAAGCAGGAAATTATACAGTTGCCTGAAACCTCTGGCTTTCTGTTGATTTTGTTTAGAAGGTGTAAATCTAGTAAAGCAGGAACAGCAGCGGTCTGTTGCCAAATAGATGGCTGTATTTGTCTATGTAGATTGTATTTCCACAGCTGTCCATTGAGATGATTGCTCCCTATGTAAAGTGGTTCTAGAGTAAAGTTTGCATTTAGGATTTTAATCTTGTAAGATTTTTTTTTAGCACTTCCTACTTTTGGTTTCAAAATATAGGGAACATAATATATGCCACTCCAAAAGGTGATACTGCAGCTTTTATATCTTTGGGATAACATGTTTTGAATGAAACTGATGTTTTAGGTAGAACTCCTGGGAAAGTTTTTGCCAGCAATCATTTTACACCCCATGTGCTCCATTGTAACAAGAAAGCAGAATAAACAAACTGAACTAGGTGGTCAGGATTCTGTTAGAATGAAAACGACTATAATTTCCTTTCTAATGATGACATATAAACAAAAACCTTGCACAAATAGTTTTAATCAATGTTTAAAGATTAGTCTCCTGGACTGTTGCTTGTTTGACAGAACATTTTGGGTGGAGTGGAAATAGTGTGGGAAAACAAATAATTTCTTTGCAGATAATATAAATTACTGGGAAAGCAGAATAAAGGAATATTTCAGACACTTACCAGGCCAGTTTGGCTTATGGTCGACATAGATCACATCTCCCAGTTCCAGGTTATTTCAAAGACTGAATTATTTCAGGATCATAAACTGTAAGAGCTACCAAGAATGCTAAAGTACAGTGTTGGCACATTTTAAGTTAGCAGTTTTGCTTTTGGTCTTTTATGATATTGAGAAGAATTTCACTGAATGAAAAACTGTCTCTTCTGAGACAGCCCTAATATATGGCATGTGTGCTGCCATTTCAATGCCCTCTATCCCACTCACAACCAACATTCTTAATTAATTGTGATACTCTTTCACAATGAGCCCAGATTTGGCCTCAGAATCTTTCTCAAATCAGAAGTACAGATAGTCTTTTTCAATAAATCAGTGAGAATTATTTGAAACCTGTTTTCCATCTCTGACTGATTCTGAATTTTCTGATGTAAGAAGATAAATAAGATAGTTGAAGACGACTTGTCCAAACCACCAAGCTATTTATTTAATCACTGAAGTAGAATTCAAATAGAGGTCACATGGCCCACATTTCAGTACTATACAAGTTAGAGAGATCTTTGAAATCTTTAGAGGAAAGGTATGGAAGGTGTCTGATAAATTAGACTTTTGTCTTGCATTACTTATACTTTTATGGCATGTAGTCCATTTAGGAATTTCCAGTAATGTAAGATAACTGGTAGCATATACTAACTTTATTTTTTCATGATTTGATCCACAATTTGATATAATCTTATTCTAAAGAAGATAAAGAAACAAACACACATGTACAGGGGGTCATTAAGATGAAGTTTCTCTGAGATGGTAGACAAAATCATTAAACTCAGATCGTGTCTTTAAGGAGCTTCTGATCTAATTGAAATGTATTTCAATTCATTGTTGATTATTAAACAGAAACTACATGAGTATTAATTTTTAGACACAAAAATCATCCTTATTTCTATAAAATGGAAGAAATAATATTAACACACCAGGTCAATAAATGTTGGGTAATCAGTTATTGGAGTGCTTTGTGCTGGCAAAGTAATAATAGAAATCACAGTAAAAGTTCACTTTTTTGCCTAATTTTATGTTACTTTTCCTGAAGCAATTGTCTATATATTTTTGCTAATAAAGTCAAACTTTTAAAAATTTTTTAAGGGACAGAATTGTCCTTAAAATAAATTGTTCTTGAATTTGATGGATTCTTTGGAAAAATCATTATTAGGATTATAGTTATTGGAATTGCTTTGATTATGCTTAAGCAGCTTAGAGTAAGACTCTGTTACATGAATAGTAATGCATATGAAACTATTTTAAAAGTGATTGTGTCCTATGTAGAATGCTGCAAATTTATAAAATAGTTCTGTAATGATGTTAAAATGTTACCAGATATGCTTTTGTAGACATGAGTACTCATAGCCATAAACTGTCTTGATGGTTAGCCAGGACTGGAATTTTACTTCCTACATTTTCTCCCCTAATCCACTCACATTATATGAAGAAGTTGTTCTTGGTCAAATATGAAAATAAAATATCAGTTGAGACGAAATGTCATGTGGTTTATAAAATACACATAGCTAAATTTAGGGAGGTATTTGGATTATTCAAGAGACAGATTGGTAATGAAATCCTCTTCATCCATCAAGAGGTTTGAAGCCATGTAGAATTCTCAATGTCTGTCCTCTTATCCCTTCAACAGTTACCCCTTCAGTAGTGACAAAGTTTGATTTGGGGTAGAACACTGGGTTATGGTTACCACCTGTGCAAGTGCTATGTACTTTTTGATTGCAATGTCAGAGGGATTTGGGAACTAAGTGATAGAGTGACAGATGATTTTATGACATCCAAAGTGAAGTGTGTTTGTGGTTGATTAATAGCAGTGCTGCTGGGTCTGTGTTTGTGACAAAAGCACCGAGGAAAGCTAAGAGCAGCAATTAGGCAGTCCTATACTTGGAAGATCCTATGAAACAAAATGTGACGCTCTAGATGACATATTGAAAGGCCTTCAAGGGCATTTGCTGTCCATGCATTTTCATGATATTATATTTCATGTTGCAATGATCAGCCAGGCCATCAAATATTTAACCTCAAAGGAACTATGAGTTTGGACATTTGCTCTTCAAACGATCCATTATTTATTGATTAACTTATCAGCACTTTGAAATTTGCTTCTCTTAAATTAGGGCAATGCATTGGTCTGTGGACAGTACACTAAAATTCAAGTAAAGGACCTTCACATCTCTTTCCAAAATGGCTTATTTATCTTTTGTTAACTTATTTTTTCTCTACAAAGGAGAGAAAATGCAGTAAGATTTTTTTATTTAATGACATGAAATAATACCTTTGATATACAAGAACTCTACAGATTAAAGCTAAGTACAGTGTATACTGAATTTTATAACAATTTGTGGTTATATGTTTAGAAAAACATTGTTGTCTTATTATGTTGGTATTATGTTTAGAAAAACATGGGTATAAAGTTATTAAATAATTTAGGAAAAACATACAATGGAAATGTCTAAAACTTTAACCTCTGAAAAGAATGCAAATGGAATTTTCTTTTACTTATTTGGTTTCTATAAATATGTGTGCTGGATTAATTGGTAAATAGATAAGAAATGGCATGAAATTATTTAACATTTATTTCTTTCCCCCAATTAAAAAGTTAATATAAAAGGTAATAAATTGTTACTGTCTAAAAGTTACTTCTTACTGCAAAATGTCTTGAGATAGTTTTGTTTGATTATGTTTAATTTAATTTAAATTATCATCATACTTTCTTGTTACATTGTCTTTTGAAATTATTAAAATTGCCTAAATAACATTGTTCTATCTCAGTGTGATAAAATGGCGAGCTCAGAAAATTAATTTAGATATAGAATGGAAAATGAAAGAATTTGAATATTGGAGGGAAGTATGTAATAAAAGTAGTCATTTGAACAGAAAAAGATAAAATGAAATGTTTTAGTTTTCATAACATTATAACAGTAATAAAGGCTATTTTTCCATAAAAATATATATTTTGTTTGTAGGTGTATGTGTAAGACACATTAATATTACCAGCCTTTTCTTGAACTATTTTGACATATTATATTATACATATATTACTTAATGTCTTTTGCTTTGTTTTCTTTTAAACAGCAAATGCCAGTCTTCTTGGAGGAGGTGGTGGTAAGTTCTGAACATCACTTAATTTGAAATACATTTTTATTACTATACTAACCACAAGAGGTTATTAAGTTTTGTGACACTTTAAAGAAAATTAATTTTGCTATAGTTGTAAACCACAAAAATAGTTTTCCAGAAAATAATTTATAATAGAGATGTCTTGAGTTGGCCTAAATATTGTTTCAACTGGTTTCAATATGTGGGATACTACTTTTCTTCATGTCTAACTTTGTATTTATGCCTTTTGCCAATAGCTATAAGCTATTGACATGAACATACATTTAGCAGATGATACAATCACTTTTAATATTAATTCTAAAATAGCAATACATTTGGAGGTTGCGGTTTCTTTTGCTTACATTCATATTGTGGCTTTCTTTGGCTTATCATGACTGTAGCTCGAGACCTTAATATATGTGAGTGACTTTGAAGAAAAGAAAAGGAAATTAGTATTGAAATTTTGTTTTTTCTTTATTCTTGGTTAGAGGAGAAAGATCGAGATCAGAGTGACATGGAGAAGAGAGGTGGTCCTGTACTGGGAATTTTTGATAGTAAAATCTTGTAACTAGTTATATTTTTATTTGTAGGTTAGGTACATGAAAACTTTGATAGAACAAATATTTATAATATAGTAGGGAGAAAAGAGTATACAATTACAATAGAATATAAGACTCAAATGTACATAAATAGGTCCATTCGTCTGTTCTCTTTTTTCTCTCCCTATATTGCTCTTACTTTCTCTTTTCATATTTGAGGTTGAAATAGGTAAGATTGTAAATAAATTTAGGGTTGTAAAAAATTTTCTGGCTTTCATCAGAAGGTTTCAGTATAATTTTTATTTTATTTTGAAGATAAAATTAATGATATAACTATTGTTCCTTTTTTAAGAATCAGTTGATTTTTAACAGAATCATGGAAAGAGAAATAATAGAAAAGACTTTAAAGTAAAAAATGCTCTTTATATCATCACATGCCAATGCATGTTGTATAAAAATGTATTATAAGAGTATGGAATTTGAGTTGGACTTACTATTTAAAGACCATGAAGGGATTACTTGATATCTCTATATATCAGTACCTTTACCTTTAAAAAATGAGGATTAATGTTGACTACCTAAAATTTGTATTGTGAGAATTGAATAAAAATGTCTATTATATAATAGAATAGTAGGGGATTACTAATTTCTATTTATTATTTTTCTTTCCTCAATTATTTCAGCAAACATAAATCTGCAGTTTTTAAAAATTATATCTTGTATACTATTTAGAAGGGAGAATTTGGAGGGAAAAATTTTTTTAGGAGTTGGATTTCCAGTAATTTTTTCTAAATTACTTACCATGTGTGGAGAAAGGATTATTAAAATAAATTTTCCACAGAGCTTATTTTCTTAAGAGACATATTAGTATTTTAGGAAAGGTGACTAATATTGTTAACAGCACAGAGGACAGGAAAAATTGAATCTACAAAAATATCTTATCAAGTTAAAATTGGCAAATTATCTGGATAATTAATTTATTGCCCTTGATTATATCTAAAAAGTGACTTGACTAGTTATATTAGTTAAAAATCACTTTAGCTGCTCATTACAGAAAAATAATAGAAGCTTAAAGGCTATAGAAATGTATTTCTGTCTCATGTAGAAGTTGTCTAAACAGACTGGAATGGTTGTATGGGGACATTGAAGATTCGAGCTCTTATTTTCTGTTTGTACCTTCTAATATGTGGCTTCCATACCTAGCAGGTCTGAAAACTGCTGGGGCTCTTGCAAGTTTAAATAAGGGAGGCAAAATTTAAAAAATAAATAAAAGATAAAGAAGGTGGACTTCTGAAGATGAGTGTTCTTTAAGCAAATTTCCCTGAAAACCCACATTGTCATTGAACTTGATGAGATATTCATTTGTGACGTGCAGTCTTTTATTCTAGGAAACAACATGCTCCTGAGAAAACAAAATCAGGTTCTGTCTACTAAGCAGGAAGGCAAAAGTGGAGATTGAAAGAAACAATAAACCCATAGACCCACGTTAATGGTTATATCTAGGTTTAAATATGTGTAAGCATAGCTGGTATGTATGGTATTGACTCTAGGGACTGGACTTTTTCACCTTCTGGTTCTTCTAAACTATATGAGGGCCCATCATGAATTTTTAGCAATAGTATTACCTTCAGGAATGGGCCAACTAAGTTCTCTATTTACCTGAAGTATATGCTGTACTGTTCTCTTCTTTATGGTTAATTTTGCTAAATTTTCACAAGTTCTAATTTCTGAATACTAAAATTAACTTCTGAGCACCATCATAAAGGTAAATTATAACTATTTAAGATGGTTGTAATTTCTTTCATTAAAGTAGGTCATTGACAGGTTTAAATTCATTTATGTACTTCTGGAGATGTCAAGGTTGCTTTAAAATACATGTTTGATTTTTGGAAAGCTGCATTTAAACATTACATTTAAAGAATATTTTTAGCCTTCTTTGAACTGATTTTTGACCTTGTGATTCTATGACAAATCTTTTTAATCCTCTTAGTGTTATTTGCAAAGTAATAGCTAGTCATCATCCAATAAGGAACAATTGAATCAATGTAATGCTCATGGATTTAGTCAACAATTCCTCTTATTGACTTGAACTAATTCCCCTCACAAAGGTACCTAACGGGAGTGATTCTTTGATTGGCCAAACAATTTGATTCAGAAAATTTGATACCACTTTCAAAACAACAATGGGGAAATGCCATTTTTCAGGTTCTCAAATTCTATATAAACAGCACTTGAATGTGAAATGTGGACAAATTCATTGTATATAAAATTGTATTACCTATAAGTGCATTATTATTAAATACTTATTTTATAAAATTATATTTATTTAAACAATGAATTTTCTAGAAAATCTTAACACTCATTTTTGAGTTCTTATAACCAGCAAGTCCCCTCAGAGATTTTTCAAAATGATCACATATCATCTTCTCAGTTCTCATTTCCAAGTGAGAAAATTACTTTACATTGGTGTGAATTTTCATCTTTGGCCAGGAGATCAATCGTTCCAAGAACTTAGTGTCCCTGACTGCATTTTAATGTAATGAACATAGGTGATGTGGTACATCTCCTCAGTCATTTCAGTAAAAATACTTGGTAAAATTGATCAGTTCTCTCTATGTGTCCTTGATGTGCTAAAGCTGATATACATCATATACTAATTTCTTAAGTGAATATATGACTGGTCTATAGTTACTGGTCTATAGTGATGGAAACCTTTACATTAAAGTTTTTAAAAAGCCTTGAAGCTTTGTTATTTATTTTGATAAACGCTTATGAATATTACCAACACTATCTCGTATAACACACTTGGAAAAACATATAAACAAGTAAACTTTATTTCCTCATCCAGTCCTTGTGTTAGTCAGGATGGCCTACATTATGCTATGGTAACAAGTAAACCTTAACATTTTAGTGGACTAATAAAATAAGGTTTATTTCACATCTCAGTGTAAGCAGGTCTCATGGCTGTGCTGAAGCTCTCCTACAGAGACTCAGGCTGTTTCCATACTGTGTAACTCCTCCATGCACTATGCGGCTGATAAAGATATCACAGAACAGGAAGAGGAGCTGGAGGATGCTGTGAGATTTATTTCTAGACCAGTTTTGGAAATGGCTTGTATCTCTGCAGATCAGGCAAGTAATCCTTGATCTAATTATAAAGGGGGCTGGGGAAAATGGAGTCCTTTAGCTCTCCCTAGAAGAGGAAATGGTATGGTAAATAGATCCCTGGTGTTGTCTCTGCTACAGTGCTCACAAAAGATCAGTGTTACTATTTATAATTGGTATTACTGTTATCTTAATGATTGAGGGGATGAGATCTAGGGATGTTTGGTAACTTCCTCAAGGTTGCACAGCTTATAAATGACAAAGCTTGAGTGATAGGACAGTGTTCTTGACTCCTGCTTCAGGATGTTTCGGCTTTGCCCTGTGATTTTTAATATACTTCTCTTCAACATTGCTTTATTTGTATACTGTATACGAAATTTGCTTCTTCCTCTTCTGTCAAAGCACCTGAATAACTTTATTAAGCAGCAGCTGCTTTGGCTGCTGCTGTTGCTGCTTTTTTCGTCCTTTTTATTTATATATTTGAAAGGCAGAGAGGCCAGCGCCTTAGCTCACTACGCTAATCCTCCGCCTTGCGGCACCGGCACACCAGGTTCTAGTTCCGGTTGGGGCGCCAGATTCTGTCCCGGTTGCCCCTCTTCCAGGCCAGCTCTCTGCTGTGTCCAGGGAGTGCAGTGGAGGATGGCCCAAGTGCTTGGGCCCTGCACCCGCTTGGGAGAACAGGAGAAGCACCTGGCTCCTGGCTTCGGATCAGCGCGGTGCGCCGGCCGCAGTGTCCATTCGGGGTTGAACCAACGGTAAAAGAAGACCTTTCTCTCTGTCTCTCTCTCACTGTCCGCTCTGCCTGTCAAAAAAAAAGGCAGAGAGACAGACAGGTGGACAGAGAGACACACATAGAGCTCCTATCTGCTGGTTCATTCCCAAAATTTTCACAACTTCCAGGGCTGGGCTAGGCAGAAGCCTAGGAGCTAGAAACTCAATTTAGGTCTCTCACATGAGTAGCCATTTGAGGAGTGAGCCACCAGATTTAAGATTCTCTCTCTCTCTCTCCCTCTGTAACTCTGCCTTTCAAATACATAAAAAATGAATTTGAGGCGGCAGCCCTGTGTAGATGAAATGTTCCTTCTCATTGCAGCCATGCTGATTGAACGTGGAAGGATACATTCCCTAATAGGGCATTAGCTTCCTGAGAGCAGAGACTTTATTCAGATTTACAAAGCTGGATGCTTCCACTATATAGAGTAGATGCTGTGTAAAGTATTTTATTTTTGAGAAACATCTCTCATCCTGGATTCTCCCTGGTTTAGATATTTTGGGTTTATCCCTTTACCTTTGAATTATTTCTAAATTAAAAATACAGAACTTTAAAAAATGTTTATAGTAGATAACCCAAGAATCATATGC